TATCAACAGTGGTACCGTATTTCAAGCACGCACGGAAGCAGTACGACATTTAGCCCGATCATGGCACGCTGGAAGATGCATAAGACACAGTACGGCGTACCCATACAAGTTCACTATCCCTACTTCATGTACATATGCACTGTGTGCCATGGAGTACCACACGCACGAGACCCTCCGAAGTCATCTATGCTCGCACCTGCCGCCGACGCAGGAGGGTGTATCCATGTCAGTGCTTGAGCCGAGACCTCCCCCTACTCAGCCGAGGCCCCCGCGGCCCAAGCCCCTTCCGAGAGCCACCTCGCAGCTAGCCGTGCCCCTTCGAGGACGCGACACTCGAACAGCTCAAGGCCTGCGGGTGGAGACACGTACTCCTGCGGGGGCCTGTGCTGCGGACTCCTCGGCTGTGTCAGCGAATGGTGGGACCGCACCAGAGACGAAGATCGGAAGAAGCAGAATGGCGAGGAGGGCGGCATCCAGAGGGGCGCTGCCGAGGAGGGGACGGGGAGCAAGCAGCGAGTGCGCAAAGGAGGGCGTCGTCGGGTCGAGGCGAAGGAGCGCAAGCTCAGCACGAAGGACGCGGGCCTCAAGGAGCTGCTGCTGCTACTATCGATGCAGGTGGCCCAGCTCACTCAGAAGTCGAGAGCGATGTGGGGAGCAGTCACACGTACAGTGCTGATCGGGACATCGCACGCCGTGGTAAGAACCATCCACGAGGAAAACAAGAGGTTCGCGGCCCGAGCAGCAGCCCTACGAGCTCAAGTAGGCAAACTCAAGGACCAAGCGAAGGCGGCGAAAGGGTACCGACAAAGCAGCAGACGAGAAGGCCACCAGGAAGGCGAACGACGTACCAGACGGACTACGAGGATTGGGCCCTCCGTACCCCGCAGTGTACGCAACGATGGTCGAGTCCTTAGCAGCGCAGGTCGGCAAGCAGAATCGCGAGAACATGGAGGCCTGGGCAGCGGAGATGGAGGCATATCCTCCACTATATGTCCGTACGTGCAAGCTGGAGTCGTCCAAGAGCGAAGACCAAGTGGAGGTAATGTTCTCCCTGGACGATCCGGCCCGCGAGTAGATCTTGATGCGCGTGTTCGCCAGTCTGGGCGCGACAGTGACGACGGGAGCGGCACCCAGCGGCGATCTCGAGGAGATCAGTGCATGGATGTATGTGCTGAAGAGTTGAGTGAGTCCCAGCCGTGGGCGCCGTTGCCAAGTGGTTGCAGCCTCGGGTTCGGTCACCTAGTTACCGATGGTAACGAAGACGAGATAGGTGACCTCGAGGCCTCTCCTTTGTGTGATGATTGAGCATGTGCGTGTTCAGTACTGGCGTGCGCGCGCACTGTGCCTGCATCCTTTGAGCTGCAGGCTGCGCAGCCGTGTGCACCTGGATATGAATAGCGTTGCGGCGCGGACAGCGGACATAGCGCATGCGCGCGTAGGTCTGGCCCACCCCCCTCCTCGTGTCGCCTCCCTCCTGCCTCATCCGTCGCCTGTGGCCCCTCGCTCGCCCTTGGCCCCGCTCGGCCCCTCGGTCGGCCCCTCGCCTGGCTGCGGTCGGTCCCTGCGTCTGCTCGGCTGGCATGTGCTTGGGGAACGTCCGCGTAGGGGTCTAGTCTCACTACTTCTGTATAAGCACGAACGCGTCATACCTGTACATACACCGTAGGCTGTGTAGAAAGGTTGAGATGCCGGCACTCATATTGTCCCACAGGTGCGTACTACTACTACTACTACTACTACTACTACTACTACTACTACTACTACTACTACTACTACTACTACTACTAACTACTACGACTACTACTACTACTACTACTACTACTACTACTACTACGACTACTACTACTACTACTACTACTACTACTACTACTACTACTACTACTACTACTACTACTAC